AGTTTACTAAAATAGCTACATTTTGGGATGAAATGAGTGGACATCTAAAGGATTTGCAAAGCGAAGAACAGTTGAAAAATGTTTTATCCATTGAAGATGAAAAGGAAAGAGAAGAAATCATAAGGTCTTACGTCTTTAAGAAAGCTCTTCTCAAAAACTTTGCCAAATGGATTGCAACACATCAGATGACAAAGGTTTTTCGTCAGAGAATGAAACCAGTCAGAGATGAATTAGCAAATATAGTGAGAGGAAATTTGGATCAAGAGGAATCGCGAAAGAATATGAAGAAAATAAGTGGTGAGCTGTTTGCTGAAGAAGCAAGGAGACGTAAAAGAATAAAAGCAATGAAAAGAAATGAACCTCGAGATGAACTTTAGCTCTCAAGGGAACTAAACATTATAACTAACTTTAGTATTACATAGGATTGTTTTGCTTTTAGTTTTTTGAAATAGGCACATTTAAAATTTGAATTGCTGTACTTAAAATTTGATATACTGTACTTAAAATTTAATGAGCATAGCTAGCCAATTAGTTTTGGGCGTGGCTTTTATTGTAATGTACACACCCACGAAAGCATGGCGTACAATGAAGAGAGAGGTAGAGGTGAGTTATTAATATTATTTTTTGTGTAAAATGTAACTGCAAGCACAAATGATTACTTATTTGCTATTAGGAGATGAGGAGGCATTCTTCAGTAAAGAAATTCCATCAAAAGGCAGCTGGAAATCAACTGTCAGTCGTTCATACAGATCACGTAATAAGGGTAGCTATGGTGACAGTCACCAAGATGATATCGACACATACAGACGAGAAATGAAGAGACAAGCCCCTCTCACTACAGATGAGAGCAGACAGAGTGAACGTCGTCACGGCGACCGGAGAAGAGATGACGAGGGCAGGCACCACAGTCGATCAGTCGAACACAAATCAAAGAGAAAGAGCCAGAAAGAAACAACCAACCCAAAGAGAGAGAGAAAAGGACTAGATCCCGGTTACCTATTTACTCGACCCAATCTCGTAGCCACTCGGATAGAAGAGAGCCACGCCCACAATACAGCCTCTCAGACAGTCAATCAAAAAGTCATTCAGGGGTGTGGTCTAGTTCACACAGACACACCCACTTACACAAGAGCGAGTATGACAGAGGAAAAGGAGGGTCTGGCGGCAGACATGATGTCTATCGTCTCATTAGAGACTTAGAGAGTTCTTCTAGTGGTAGTGATTCAGATGAGGGTGTTGTCAGTAAAGAAGCCACACCCACTTGTTTAAAAGATGAGACGGAGGAATCAAAGAAAGAGTCACCAAAGAAAACATGGAAAGATATAATGTACTCTGATTCTGAAGAGGAGGAGGGGGAGAGTCCTCTACGTAAGAGTGCCTCACCTCGGGAAAGCGACCAATCAGATTCAAGACTAGATGAAGATGACATGAAGGATGATGCAGCTACCCCACCACTTGCTGAGTCGGCAGAAAAAGAGGATGAACTAGCTCAGTGGCTGAGTCTGCAGTTGAGATTAAAGCGTCTAGTGCTACCCACCAGGAGGGCCTGTCTTTTGTTATGAATGGTGGAATAGGATTGAGGAGGGGACTTATGGTATAGTGTTTAGAGCTAGGGACATCAGAACAGGTGAGTGGGATAGGGTTCTTAGTTAGGTAAGATTCTACCTATACTATGTATATATTCAAAATTAAAGTTAGAATTGCTGGCCATAAACCCTGTACTAAGCACAGTGTATTTGGTCATCAGAGGGTTTTTCAGTTTGTATAATTTTATCTGGTGTTTACCAACTTTTAAAGGTTACTCAAAAATCAGGCCAAAGTCCCTTTATAGTACAGGGACTTTGACCAAGTTTTGCCAAAAATGAAAAGGAGAGAATGCACCATTAATTTTTTTCAAATACATATACATGTTCTTATGTTTTGTAGAAAGTTTGAACTAATTCCGATCATAATTGGATTTTTTTACGAATTTTTAAAGCTGCTTAAAATTAGGCCAAAGTTCCTGTACTATAGTACAGGATTGTTGGCCAAATTTCACCAATAATGACTTGGTAAGAATTCTCCATTTTTATTAAATTTTCTAAAGCACAATGTTTTTATGTTGTGTAGAAAGTTTTAACAGATTCCAATCATAATTGGATTTTTTTACAAATTTTCAAAGTTGCTCAAAAATTAGGTGGCCAAATTTTATTAAAGATGGCAAGGAGAGATTTCTTTATTTTTATTACATTTTTCAATTAATTGGGCGAAGCCCACTAGTTCGAGTAGAGTATGTCTGTATGTACACGTACGTCACCCCTATTTATCTGTATGAAAAATTTTCCTATTTTAATAACCTAATCTTAATCTTTTTTGAAAACGGGTGTGGTCACAGTGAAATAAATTGGCGCCAGCTATCAATTCTTCATTTTTCTTCATGTTCTTGACCTTAAAAGTTACAAGTCACTCACTTGAGTCAGCAAGAATGCAAGAGAAGTCTCTACTACTTTCCAGATACAGCAAGGAAGATTAAGAGGGCAGATATGCCACAGTTGTGAGCTCAGTTGTAAAACCTCCACAACTACTGACATAACCTATAACTGCAGTTACTGTCTCTGGCTTCCAACACAACTTTTTTGCTGCAGAATGTGATAAACTGATAAAGAAAATTTGTATTTCCAAGCATGATACCGTACGGTTGGTAAATTTCGTGGGGTATTAATTTTCGTTAATTTTGTGGTTTATTTTTATTCACGAAATTTTAACCCCTACCCACCCACACATAAAAGCTAATTAATGGGCCATGCAGAGCTCTAACTACTATTTTCAAGCCAGTAGAGGAGCCAAAGTTCTTGTCTGTTACTCCATATTCCACCATAAGCCATGTGTTGGAAGCTAGTCCAGTAGATCCAAGTGAAAAGAAGTTTGCTAACTACCACCCACGAATATTTGTACCCACGAATATTAGCTTCTAAGGACATTTTGGAGAAAACACGAAATTTTGGACCCTCGAATATTACCAACCGTACGGTAACTTCATTACAAACTTACAAACTACTGTATTTACTCATGTACATGTACAATAATGTAGCTCTATACCATATAACCTTTACAATATAGCGTGGCTAGGGGGCTGAGCCCCTAAATGTTTTGCATTTGTCTAGTTTTTATATTGTGAGTGGAGATCAGATGCATGTTGTGGTACATACATGTACATGTTGTATACACACATGTACATGTTCATTTACAATAAATGTACTTTGGGATTGGTTGCATTATTCTCTCTTTTCTCTTTTTCTTCTCATAAAGATGAGATAGTTGCTCCGAAGAAGTTAAAGATGGGAAATGTTTCCTATTAGATCACTAATTGAGATCAATGCTTTACAGTATGTTCCTGACGTGGCCTGCTAAGAGTGAAATGACTAAGAAATCAGTGAGACCAAAGAGTCCGACAGCACCTGAAGGAGGAGCATTCTTCTTTAACCAAAAGGTATTAGAATTATTAATAAATTAGAATTGGCTGAAACCTTGCAATAGCATAAGGACATTCATTATGTTTAAGAAAATGTGTTTCATGCTAGCAAAAGTAATGCATTTTGATGTGCATTAATCATATTCACAGTCTAGAGTGGTTTCAAATTAATGTGCATCAATGCACATTACTCCCAGAGGTCGATTGATGTGAAGTGATGCATTTTGATCAATGTAAATATTAACCAATGGCAACAAAAACACAAAATGATACATACATGTAATTCAATTGCTAGTGTGAACAAGATCAATTGTCATTATTTTAGCTGTATCAGCAAAGCACATCAAACTGATCAAATCGCTTCAAAAACTGTGCCGGTGTGAATAGGTGTTGAAATGTTTGTATGTACATGTACGTATAATACAAAATGTGATTATTTTAGTGGTTGTTAATTATTTTTATTTGGTATTAGGGTAAAGATGGTGAAGATGAGAAGTTTCAGTTACCAGATTTACAACCAGGGAAAGCTGGATTTACTTCAAAATTCTAACTTAGCCCCCTACCCTCTCACCTTTCTTATTTTAATGAAACTATTTCTTTGTTAAAGAACAATAGAGATGTAAGTTGGACACAAATAGGGCCTCACATAGCCAGACTCCAAATAAGAGTCTGGTGTCATACCTACCCAAATTACGAAAGGAATGGAGTCTGGCTGTGCAAGATTAGGGTAGGTTATGGTAGACAATAAAAATAAAGTAATAAGTTAACAAAGAGAATTTAATAGTTATACATGTAAAACAAGTTATTAAACAAGCTGGACAAACCCACATCATCACACCCATTCCCTGATTTGACCAATGAGGCTCTAGCTAATAGTTATATTGCAACTGTTGACATCAAACGGAATTCTTAATTTAATGTGAGAGGAATTTACTAATATTGCTTTTACCAAATGAAATTTATTATGCTTTTGACCATAATTTAGATCATATTTCAGCCTTTTATACCCTGAGTATGTTCATTGTAAAGCTTACCCACCTTGCATGTGTACTTTCACTGTATATGTTTGTGGGATATTACCTTAGACTGGTGTCTTGTATTTTTAATTCATTGTGCATGCTATAGTATATTCACACCCAAGTTATTTACTACACTACATACCCACCTTTTTGCACTTTTATGTCATGTGGTTCATTCTTATTTTTTTAGACAATATCCCTTGATAATAATCAAAGATAGCAAGAATATATACTACTAGTGATAAAGGAGAAAGTCAGAAAACCCTAAGAATACTAGTTAGCTACAATTATATTGAAATGGAACTACAGCAGACTAGATAAAGAAATCATTAACATTAATTGTAATTTTAGAGTTCATCTTTTTTCATTTTGTTTTGAGCATCTTCAATAGCTTCTATTGGCTTCACTTCACTGAGGAAATACCTGCTAGCTTTACTAAGGGAGAGCCATTGAGCATAGAGTGTGATTGCTTGTTTTTGGAACAAAGGAGTCGCCACTGCTGCTTTATCTGTAACTCTCTTTTTTAGATCAACACAGTTGTTGCTTACATCTTCCCATGCTGTACTGACTGTCTGAAGTGTAACTGTAAGACCGTTGTAATTACTAATAATGCCCTGAAGACCTTGAGCTGTATTCTCAATAGATTTTATCTTCTCTCTTGCCTCATTTAATTTGTTTGCTAGTTGTTGCAATTGTAAAGACGCTGTTGCTGCATTTTGCTGTTGCTCTCTAGCTCGTGCTAAATGGCGATCTGCTTCCTGTCTAAGAGATCTCTCCCTTCTTTCGTATCTTCTTACCAGGTTCCAATTAACAGCTCTTGCTAGTGTACATATCAACCTTCCCCATCCTCTGCATCTCCTTCTCCTCCTTCTTTTCTCATGGTCAGCATCTTGTCTTGCCTGGTCAGCTTGTCTTTGAGATTCAGCAGCTGCAGCTTGAGCATTTCTTAAATCAGTTTCAGTGCGAGCCTT